GCTGATTGACAGCACCTGTGAGAAATGAGCCAGAAGGCAGTATGTTGAGTGGTGTGGAGTATAAAAGCAGCTTCTTCAGTTTGCTCTAGCATGAGCCACCCTTTCCATCACACACAGTCTTGTCAAATCCAGCATTTACAATTTCCTTGCTTCAAAATTGGGTATGTTTTTGACTTTGTGTTCTTGTATTTGCTGAGGGCTTGGTGTATAGGGTCATGTTCAGATTAAGGTTGAATATCATAGGTATGTTTCTGATGTGTTCTCATTTCTTGTTGTTCTTGATTTAGCGTCAAAGAAAGTGTTGATTGTGTATGCCACACCAGAGCTCTGGCTCGTTCAACTCTGCAGCCAAAGACGCTGCGGTGGAAGTTTTAACTGCTAAGGGCTGCACAGTAGGAAGTATCTGACCTGTATGCCATGAAGTTTAAGGCCACTGCTACAGCTGAGGACATCACTGGTAAATACCTCACTGAAAATAAATAGTTTAGCTTTCAAACTGGTCTTCAGACTTGCAAACATTTATTTTCCCTGCAGGAAAAGTTAAGAATGCAGATCACTTCTGTTACGGAGAGGAGACCAAACTGGCATGGGAGGCGGGAAAGCTTACTGCTGATATCACTGAAGAACAACGCAAACTCACTGAGGCAGACCTCGTCATTTTTCAGGTAGAGCCAGAATTGGTATGTTTGTTTTGAAAAGCCATGCCTCTGTTATGAACTAACCTTAAGCCCTACTGCTCAGTTCCCCATGTACTGGTTCACTGTTCCTGCCATCATGAAGGGCTGGATGGACCGGGTGCTCACACTGGGCTTTGCCTTCACCCACGAGAAGCGGCTACAAAGCCAGGGAATCTTCAAGGTAACAAAGCAAATCAAGAGGTTTGCCTTATTGTGAAGCTATTTCTCCCTACTTATATCTTATCTTTTCCACAGGACAAGAAGGCCATGCTCTCCTTCACCACTGGGTCTCAGGAGTCCATGTTCAGTGCAAATGGCATCAATGGAGACATGAATGTCACTCTTTGGCCACTGCAGGTATTTTATTTTGACGAATGATTATCATATAGCTGTTCCAGAGTAGAGGTCGCGTTAACGGAATATATTCCGTTTATGACAGATTTTCTTTAACAATGACGGAAAAATCTGAAAGCAGTCCCTCATTTTGACAGATTAGAACGAACTCAGAACAGCGCCAAAGTTTCCCCGCAGCAGGGCTCCAGTGTTATGGATGACCTTTAAAAAGGAAATTATATCGTTTCTAGACCTAACTTTGCCGTACAAATCAATGAAATGTCTGGGAGTTTATGCTTTACGCTGTGGCGCGCTCCCGCGAGGTGTACCGACCGACGGGTAACAATGGATTTTCACGGAATTTGTACGATCCTGTCCGTCAAAATTACGGGCAGGGAAAAAGTCAACCACAACTCTGTTCCAGAAGGAACTTATTTATTGTATGCATCGACACACATGTATTTATTTTTTCTTCCAGAATGGCATCCTGCACTACTGTGGCTTCCAGGTTCTGGCTCCTCAGATCTTCTGGGCCCCGTCTCACGTTCCCTCTGAGGCACGCGGTACTATGCTGGAGGGCTGGCGCACGCGCATGCAAGGCCTCCTGGGAGAAAACCCACTTGCTTTCACTCCCTTGGACTGCTTTGATGGGGAGAAGGGTTACCAGCTGAAGCCTGAGGTCCATGAGAAACATGCCGCCAAGGAGTTTGGACTGACCGTGGGGACCCACCTGGGCAAGGCCCTGCCACCCAACAACCAGATGAAAGCCGGAGTCTGAAGAGTGAATGACTGTTGTTGGTTTTTTATGATGATAAATAAAAGCTGGTTAATATGTTCTGAATTTCTGTTGAATACTTGGAAACTGTATTGTAGTTCAAATGGCTAGGGTTTGCATATACAACTAGAGAATGCAATTCCTGAAGAAATTGCTAGTGGGAATGCTTTATGCTGACGCTAAACTGCTATGCTGAAATATAATGTGTAAGAAGAAAGTGAAGAATTTTCGATTGAAATGATACATGAACACTGGGGGCTTGAATGTGTGATGAGAGAAAAAAAAGAAAGTAAAAAGGCTTGGAAAAGCAGCAGAATATTTGAACTGCAAACCTTTGAACTAACTTGATGGCAAATTATCTGGCGCCATGCCAACGGCATTTGATGACATCCCATAATACGCTTAGATGTGTTGATGGCTGCATCGTTACCAAACCTGTGAAGTTTTGGGCCGTTTGGAGCATTTTCACTGACGTTATGAGAACCGTGTTTCATGGCGAGCATTGTGTTGCCATGGCAACGGCATTTGCAGAAATCTCAAAACGTTACCGTAGATGTCTTCACGGCTGGACTGTTGGCACACATGTGAAGTTTGAGCACTTTTTGAAAATGTGCATAGGAGTTATAGCGACATCGTCTTTTATGGCGAGGGATGCGTTTCCATGGAAACGGCATATGATGACACTTGAGGGCTGGACTGTTAACCATCTGAAGTGTGGTGATCTGAGCATGTCAGTTGGAGTGATGACATCGTGTTCCATGACACAGGTGTTTATATTTGAGCTAACGAGGTGTCCAGAGATCAAAGGTTTCCATTGTTCTGAATGAGAGATAAACCTCTTACATGTGAACGTTTTGTGGAAGAACCGTAACAGATATCGGTGAAATTTCAAAGCGTGAAGCATGTCAAGGAACTTGAGTATCTGAAGTGTAATTGTTGTGTACTTTCGGGTTAATAATGTGGCCATTTTGGCAGTTTCACTAAAGGTGTGTGGCTATTGTGGTGGGGAAAGATGAGGCTTAACTTACAATGGGGTTTAATGGAGACATGTTGAAAGTTGTTGTCACTTCATGCCCTCAAGAGGCATTTTGTTTAATTATTTTGATTAATCTTTTTTTATCTTTCAAGCTACGAGATGTTTTCCTACGTTTGTCATGAGAAATTATGTCTCAAGAATGTAGGGTTTGGGAATTATGAAAGGTTTAAAATAAAATATGAAGGCACAATTAAATCTGTCCTCCACTCTAGCTGTGACATCACACACTCTAAAATCTGAAGAAGGCCTCTTTACCAAGGTCTGAACAATGTTTAATATCTCTAAAAGTAAGAATCAGATTTAAAAGTTGTGTTACACGAATAATGTCAGAAAGATGTGTAACATTTTAAAGTTGGGATGAGGTTTCTGAGTGAAAGTATGAAGTCGCAGTTGAAGTCGCTTGAAGATTGTTGAAGTCTGAAGAGTTTCTCCATTGACTTCCATGTTAAAAATGTAATGTATTATGGGATGTATCTCTGGAATTATGAAAGTTAAGAATGATAAAGGTAATAGCCATCGATTCCCGACCGAGCTGAACGTTTTGATGTTTGAACGGAGTTTCTTCGATGTTCAATGTGGGAGAAGAAGATGCGCAAAATAACCCGGCGGAATAACAAAGAATTTTGTGCGTAGCATAACAGATAGTGGGAATGCTGTGTCAGCATTCCCACTAAATAATTAGAGCCAATAAATCAAGTAAAGGGCTTACTGTACTTCTCAGCATTGTACATTTAGATAACAGTCGTTTGACTCATTCAGCTTTAATGGCAATGAATGCACACAAGATGTTGCTATGGCAACCGGTTGTATGCAATTTTCTTTAGGCCTACCAATGTTAAGTATTGTGACAACGTCCATCAAACTCCTGTCGGGAAAGATTTCACTGATTGCTAAACTTAGAGCGAAGTTGACTATTCACTGAAGTTTCTCAAGTTAACTTCTGTGGTCAGGACCCCGAACAAAATGAATCTGTAACCCTTCATTTCAAACACTTCATTTCTGTTAACCCTGTTATTTTGATCTAATCCTCCCTTCACCAAACTACTTTTACGCTTTGATCTTAGTTGCCTATAACTTTCAAAATATTCATCTTCGTATAATGCCTTTTGTAGCTCTGCACATGTGTGTCCCATCTCTAGAATAGTATCCTCATTCTGATCCTTCAGATCTGCATGTCCTCTGTATTAAAAGACGCATAAGGCGCGTTCACACCGCAGTACTTTTCCCACTTTAGTTCCGATATAGTTCCGAAATGTCGCGTTCACACCAAAAAGAGCCGGAACTAAAATTAGTTCATCAGAACCTTTTCACCCCCTTTTCCGTCCCTGCTAGAGAGCAGGGACTTTTGTGGGAGAAAAAGGTTCCTATGTCTGATTGGCTGGGCGGATTGAAAACCACGCCCCGTAAAACTCCCAAAAAGTTTTGTGAAGCCGCCATTTTATTATCCTCGCATTAGCATTATTAGCATTAGCATTAGCCCAGCTCAGAAACGCAGAGAGACTAACTTATGGCAACACAAAAAGAAAACATGGGAGCGGTGGAGATGAGGAGGTGTCGGTGTTCTGGCGATTTACTCGGAAGGCTTCAGTAGAAGCTGCTGGGACTCCCAGCAGCTTCTACTGAAGCCAGTCCCCAACTCCGGGGACTTCCGGCCGGGGACTTTGGGTGGCAGTATACGCTGTGAAGTTGTTTGCGGCCTGCCAGTAAACCCAAAGCAGAAGAAGAACAAGTGACGTCAGCGGCTTCATTTGCCTAATCCTCCTTCAGGGACTTATTTCGGTGTGAACGCGATCTGTACTTAGTTCATGAGAACTAAAGACTTCTCATGAACTAAGTTCTGATGAACCTTTGTGGGAAAAGTACTGCGGTGTGAATGCGCCTATTAACAGAGATGAAAGAAAAACCTACGCTGCGTCTCTTTCTGGGTCGGCTAAAATGCGGGGAAAAGCAAACATGAATGAGAAAATGTTTTTGCAAGAGTACTATTGTAAGTGTATCCTACAAAGTGGCTGATCTGCAGCTGTATTAAAATGTACTTGGCTTTTAGTGGTAGAAAAGTTCCTCTCCCCATTTGAAATGCTGCCCAAATTCAGTGAATACTTGTAGATTAGATACTAGATTGATGAGTCCTGGTAGTTGCCAGCTGATTGGTCAGTGACATTGATTGCTGATTGACAGCACCTGTGAGAAATGAGCCAGAAGGCAGTATGTTGAGTGGTGTGGAGTATAAAAGCAGCTTCTTCAGTTTGCTCTAGCATGAGCCACCCTTTCCATCAACACACAGTCTATGTCAAATCCAGCATTTACAATTTCCTGCTTCAAAATGGGTATGTTTTTGACTTTGTGTTCTTGTATTTGCTGAGGGCTTGAGTGTATAGCTCATGTTCAGATTAAGGTTGAATCTCATAGGTATGTTTCTGATGTGTTCTCATTTCTTGTTGTTCTTGATTTAGCGTCAAAGAAAGTGTTGATTGTGTATGCACACCAGAGCTCTGGCTCGTTCAACTCTGCAGCCAAAGACGCTGCGGTGGAAGTTTTAACTGCTAAGGGCTGCACAGTAGAAGTATCTGACCTGTATGCCATGAAGTTTAAGGCCACTGCTACAGCTGAGGACATCACTGGTAAATACCTCACTGAAAATAAATAGCTTAGCTTTCAAACTGGTCTTCAGACTTGCAAACATTTATTTTCCCTGCAGGAAAAGTTAAGAATGTAGATCACTTCTGTTACGGAGAGGAGACCAAACTGGCATGGGAGGCGGGAAAGCTTACTGCTGATATCACTGAAGAACAACGCAAACTCACTGAGGCAGACCTCGTCATTTTTCAGGTAGAGCCAGAATTGGTATGTTTCTGTTTTGTTAAGCCATGCCTCTGTTATGAACTAACCTTAAGCCCTACTGCTCAGTTCCCCATGTACTGGTTCACTGTTCCTGCCATCATGAAGGGCTGGATGGACCGGGTGCTCACACTGGGCTTTGCCTTCACCCACGAGAAGCGCTACAGCCAGGGAATCTTCAAGGTAACAAAGCAAATCAAGAGGTTTGCCTTATTGTGAAGCTATTTCTCCCTACTTATATCTTGTCTTTTCCACAGGACAAGAAGGCCATGCTCTCCTTCACCACTGGGTCTCAGGAGTCCATGTTCAGTGCAAATGGCATCAATGGAGACATGAATGTCACTCTTTGGCCACTGCAGGTATTTTATTTTGACGAATGATTATCATATAGCTGTTCCAGAGGGAACTTATTTATTGTATCCATCGACACCCATGTATTTATTTTTTCTTCCAGAATGGCATCCTGCACTACTGTGGGTTCCAGGTTCTGGCTCCTCAGATCTTCTGGGCCCCGTCTCACGTTCCCTCTGAGGCACGCGGTACTATGCTGGAGGGCTGGCGCACGCGCATGCAAGGCCTCCTGGGAGAAAACCCACTTGCTTTCACTCCCTTGGACTGCTTTGATGGGGAGAAGGGTTACCAGCTGAAGCCTGAGGTCCATGAGAAACATGCCGCCAAGGAGTTTGGACTGACCGTGGGGACCCACCTGGGCAAGGCCCTGCCACCCAACAACCAGATGAAAGCCGGAGTCTGAAGAATGAATGACTGTTGTTGGTTTTTTATGATGATAAATAAAAGCTGGTTAATATGTTCTGAATTTCTGTTGAATACTTGGAAACTGTATTGTAGTTCTAATGGCTGGGGTTTGCATATACAATAATTGGAGCCAATAAATCAAGTAAAGGGCTTATTGTACTTCTCAGCATTGTACATTTATATAACAGTCGTTTGACTCATTCAGCTTTAATGGCAATGAATGCACACAAGATGTTGCTATGGCAACCGGTTGTATGCAATTTTCTTTAGGCCTACCAATGTTAAGTATTGTGACACAACGTCCATCAAACTCCTGTCGGGAAAGATTTCACTGATTGCTAAACTTAGAGCCAAGTTGACTATTCACTGAAGTTTCTCAAGTTAACTTCTGTGGTCAGGACCCCGAACAAAATGAATCTAACTTCATTTCAAACACTTAATTTCTGTTAACCCTGTTATTTTGATCTAATCCTCCCTTCACCAAACTACTTTTACGCTTTGATCTTAGTTGCCTATAACTTTCAAATATGCATCTTCGTATAGTGCCTTTTGTAGCTCTGCACATGTGTGTCCCATCTCTAGAATAGTATCCTCCTTCTGATCCTTCAGATCTGCATGGCCTCTGTATTAAAAGACGCATAAACAGAGATAAAGAAAAACCTACGCTGCGTCTCTTTCTGGGTCGGCTAAAATGGGGGAAAAAGCAAACATGAATGAGAAAATGTTTTTGCAAGAGTACTATTGTAAGTGTATCCTACAAAGTGGCTGATCTGCAGCTGTATTAAAATGTACTTGGCTTTTAGTGGTAGAAAAGTTCCTCTCTCCATTTGAAATGCTGCCCAAATTCAGTGAATACATGTAGATTAGATACTAGATTGATGAGTCCTGGTAGTTGCCAGCTGATTGGTCAGTGACATTGATTGCTGATTGACAGCACCTGTGAGAAATGAGCCAGAAGGCAGTATGTTGAGTGGTGTGGAGTATAAAAGCAGCTTCTTCAGTTTGCTCTAGCATGAGCCACCCTTTCCATCAACACACAGTCTATGTCAAATCCAGCATTTACAATTTCCTGCTTCAAAATGGGTATGTTTTTGACTTTGTGTTCTTGTATTTGCTGAGGGCTTGAGTGTATAGCTCATGTTCAGATTAAGGTTGAATCTCATAGGTATGTTTCTGATGTGTTCTCATTTCTTGTTGTTCTTGATTTAGCGTCAAAGAAAGTGTTGATTGTGTATGCACACCAGAGCTCTGGCTCGTTCAACTCTGCAGCCAAAGACGCTGCGGTGGAAGTTTTAACTGCTAAGGGCTGCACAGTAGAAGTATCTGACCTGTATGCCATGAAGTTTAAGGCCACTGCTACAGCTGAGGACATCACTGGTAAATACCTCACTGAAAATAAATAGTTTAGCTTTCAAACTGGTCTTCAGTCTCGCAAACATTTATTTTCCCTGCAGGAAAAGTTAAGAATGCAGATCACTTCTGTTACGGAGAGGAGACCAAACTGGCATGGGAAGCGGGAAAGCTTACTGCTGATATCACTGAAGAACAACGCAAACTCACTGAGGCAGACCTCGTCATTTTTCAGGTAGAGCCAGAATTGGTATGTCTTTGTTTTGAAAAGCCATGCCTCTGTTATGAACTAACCTTAAGCCCTACTGCTCAGTTCCCCATGTACTGGTTCACTGTTCCTGCCATCATGAAGGGCTGGATGGACCGGGTGCTCACACTGGGCTTTGCCTTCACCCACGAGAAGCGCTACAGCCAGGGAATCTTCAAGGTAACAAAGCAAATCAAGAGGTTTGCCTTATTGTGAAGCTATTTCTCCCTACTTATATCTTGTCTTTTTCCACAGGACAAGAAGGCCATGCTCTCCTTCACCACTGGGTCTCAGGAGTCCATGTTCAGTGCAAATGGCATCAATGGAGACATGAATGTCACTCTTTGGCCACTGCAGGTATTTTATTTCGACGAATGATTATCATAAAGCTGTTCCAGAGTAGAGGTCGCGTTAACGGAATATATTCCGTTTATGACAGATTTTTTTTTTTTTAACAATGATGGAAAAATCTGAAAGCAGTCTGTCATTTTGACAGATTAGAACGAACTCAGAACAGCGCCAAAGTTTCCCCGCAGCAGGGCTCCGGTGTTATGGATGCCCTCCAAAAAGGAAAATATATCGTTTCCAGACCTAACTTTGCCGTACAAATCAATGAAATGTCTGGGAGTTTCTGCTTTACGCTGTGGCGCGCTCCCGCGAGGTGTACAGACCGACGGGTAATAATGGACTTTGACGGAAATTGTACGATCCTGTCCGTCAAAATCACGGGCAGTGAAAAAGTTAACCACAACCTCTGTTCCAGAGGGAACTTATTTATTGTATGCATCGACACCCATGTATTTATTTTTTCCTCCAGAATGGCATCCTGCACTACTGTGGCTTCCAGGTTCTGGCTCCTCAGATCTTCTGGGCCCCGTCTCACATTCCCTCTGAGGCACGCGGTACTATGCTGGAGGGCTGGCGCACGCGCATGCAAGGCCTCCTGGGAGAAAACCCACTTGCTTTCACTCCCTTGGACTGCTTTGATGGGGAGAAGGGTTACCAGCTGAAGCCTGAGGTCCATGAGAAACATGCCGCCAAGGAGTTTGGACTGACCGTGGGGACCCACCTGGGCAAGGCCCTGCCACCCAACAACCAGATGAAAGCTGGAGTCTGAAGAGTGAATGACTGTTGTTGTTTTTTTTATGATGATAAATAAAAGCTGGTTAATATGTTCTGAATTTCTGTTGAATACTTGGAAACTGTATTGTAGTTCTAATGGCTAGGGTTTGCATATACAACTAGAGAATGCAATTCCTGAAGAAATTGCTAGTGGGAATGCTTTATGCTGAAGCTAAACTGCTATGCTGAAATATAATGTGTAAGAAGAAAGTGAAGAATTTAGATTGAAATGATACATGAACACTGGGGGCTTGAATGTGTGATGAGAGAAAAAAAAGAAAGTAAAAAGGCTTGGAAAAGCAGCAGAATATTTGAACTGCAAACTTTTGAACTAACTTGATGGCAAATTATCTGGCGCCATGCCAACGGCATTTGATGACATCCCATAATACGCTTAGATGTGTTGATGGCTGCATCGTTACCAAACCTGTGAAGTTTTGGGCCGTTTGGAGCATTTTCACTGACTTTATGAGAACCGTGTTTCATGGCGAGCATTGTGTTGCCATGGCAACGGCATTTGCAGAAATCTCAAAACGTTACCGTAGATGTCTTCACGGCTGGACTGTTGGCACACATGTGAAGTTTGAGCACTTTTTGAAAATGTTCATAGGAGTTATAGCGACATCGTCTTTTATGGCGAGGGATGCGTTTCCATGGAAACGGCATATGATGACACTTGAGGGCTGGACTGTTAACCATCTGAAGTGTGGTGCTCTGAGCATGTCAGTTGGAGTGATGACATCGTGTTCCATGACACAGGTGTTTATATTTGAGCTAACGAGGTGTCCAGAGATCAAAGGTTTCCATTGTTCTGAATGAGAGATAAACCTCTTACATGTGAACGTTTTGTGGAAGAACCGTAACAGATATCGGTGAAATTTCAAAGCGTGGAGCATGTCAAGGAACTTGAGTATCTGAAGTGTAATTGTTGTGTACTTTCGGGTTAATAATGTGGCCATTTTGGCAGTTTCACTAAAGGTGTGCGGCTGCTGTGGTGGGGAAAGATGAGGCTGAACTTGCAATGGGGTTTAATGGAGACATGTTGAAAGCTGTTGTCACTTCATGCCCTCAAGAGGCATTTTGTTTAATTATTTTGATTAATCTTTTTTTATCTTTCAAGCTACGAGATGTTTTCCTACGTTTGTCATGAAAATGTATATCTCAGGAATGTAGGGTTTGGGAATTATGGCAGGTTTAAAAGAAAATATGAAGGCACAATTAAATCTGTCCTCCACTCTAGCTGTGACATCACACACTCTAAAATCTGAAGAAGGCCTCTTTGCCAAGGTCTGAACAATATTTAATATCTCTAAAAGTAAGAATGAGATTTAAAAGTTGTGTTACACGAATAATGTCAGAAAGATGTGTAACATTTGAAAGTTGGAATGAGGTTTCTGAGTGAAAGTATGAAGGAGCAGTTAGCAGTTGATGAAGGAGCAGTTAGCAGTTGAAGTCGCTTGAAGATTGTTGAAGTCTGAAGAGTTTCTCCATTGACTTCCATGTTAAAAATGTAATGTATTATGGGATGTATCTCTGGAATTATTAAAGTTAAGAATGATAAAGGTAATAGCCATCGATTCCCGACCGAGCTGAACGTTTTGATGTTTGAACGGAGTTTCTGCGATGTTCAATGTGGGAGAAGAAGATGCGCAAAATAACCCGGCGGAATAACAAAGAATTTTGTGCGTAGCATAACAGATAGTGGGAATGCTGTGTCAGCATTCCCACTAAATAATTAGAGCCAATAAATCAAGTAAAGGGCTTACTGTACTTCTCAGCATTGTACATTTATATAACAGTCGTTTGACTCATTCAGCTTTAATGGCAATGAATGCACACAAGATGTTGCTATGGCAACCGGTTGTATGCAATTTTCTTTAGGCCTACCAATGTTAAGTATTGTGACACAACGTCCATCAAACTCCTGTCGGGAAAGATTTCACTGATTGCTAAACTTAGAGCCAAGTTGACTATTCACTGAAGTTTCTCAAGTTAACTTCTGTGGTCAGGACCCCGAACAAAATGAATCTGTAACCCTTCATTTCAAACACTTCATTTCTGTTAACCCTGTTATTTTGATCTAATCCTCCCTTCACCAAACTACTTTTACGCTTTGATCTTAGTTGCCTATAACTTTCAAAATATGCATCTTCGTATAGTGCCTTTTGTAGCTCTGCACATGTGTGTCCCATCTCTAGAATAGTATCCTCATTCTGATCCTTCAGATCTGCATGGCCTCTGTATTAAAAGACGCATAAACAGAGATAAAGAAAAACCTACGCTGCGTCTCTTTCTGGGTCGGCTAAAATGGGGGTAAAAGAAAAAATGAATGAGAAAATGTTTTTGCAAGAGTACTATTGTAAGTGTATCCTACAAAGTGGCTGATCTGCAGCTGTATTAAAATGTACTTGGCTTTTAGTGGTAGAAAAGTTCCTCTCTCCATTTGAAATGCTGCCCAAATTCAGTGAATACATGTAGATTAGATACTAGATTGATGAGTCCTGGTAGTTGCCAGCTGATTGGTCAGTGACATTGATTGCTGATTGACAGCACCTGTGAGAAATGAGCCAGAAGGCAGTATGTTGAGTGGTGTGGAGTATAAAAGCAGCTTCTTCAGTTTGCTCTAGCATGAGCCACCCTTTCCATCAACACACAGTCTATGTCAAATCCAGCATTTACAATTTCCTGCTTCAAATGGGTATGTTTTTGACTTTGTGTTCTTGTATTTGCTGAGGGCTTGAGTGTATAGCTCATGTTCAGATTAAGGTTGAATCTCATAGGTATGTTTCTGATGTGTTCTCATTTCTTGTTGTTCTTGATTTAGCGTCAAAGAAAGTGTTGATTGTGTATGCACACCAGAGCTCTGGCTCGTTCAACTCTGCAGCCAAAGACGCTGCGGTGGAAGTTTTAACTGCTAAGGGCTGCACAGTAGAAGTATCTGACCTGTATGCCATGAAGTTTAAGGCCACTGCTACAGCTGAGGACATCACTGGTAAATACCTCACTGAAAATAAATAGCTTAGCTTTCAAACTGGTCTTCAGACTTGCAAACATTTATTTTCCCTGCAGGAAAAGTTAAGAATGCAGATCACTTCTGTTACGGAGAGGAGACCAAACTGGCATGGGAGGCGGGAAAGCTTACTGCTGATATCACTGAAGAACAACGCAAACTCACTGAGGCAGACCTCGTCATTTTTCAGGTAGAGCCAGAATTGGTATGTTTCTGTTTTGATAAGCCATGCCTCTGTTATGAACTAACCTTAAGCCCTACTGCTCAGTTCCCCATGTACTGGTTCACTGTTCCTGCCATCATGAAGGGCTGGATGGACCGGGTGCTCACACTGGGCTTTGCCTTCACCCACGAGAAGCGCTACAGCCAGGGAATCTTCAAGGTAACAAAGCAAATCAAGAGGTTTGCCTTATTGTGAAGCTATTTCTCCCTACTTATATCTTGTCTTTTTCCACAGGACAAGAAGGCCATGCTCTCCTTCACCACTGGGTCTCAGGAGTCCATGTTCAGTGCAAATGGCATCAATGGAGACATGAATGTCACTCTTTGGCCACTGCAGGTATTTTATTTCGACGAATGATTATCATAAAGCTGTTCCAGAGTAGAGGTCGCGTTAACCGAATATATTCCGTTTATGACAGATCTTCTTTTTTTTTAACAATGACGGAAAAATCTGAAAGCAGTCCGTCATTTTTGACAGATTAGAACGAACTCAGAACAGCGCCAAAGTTTCCCCGCAGCAGGGCTCCGGTGTTATGGATGCCCTTCAAAAAGGAAATGATATCGTTTCCAGACCTAACTTTGCCGTACAAATCAATGAAATGTCTGGGAGTTTCTGCTTTACGCTGTGGCGCGCTCCCGCGAGGTGTACAGACCGACGGGTAATAATGGATTTTGATGGAAATTGTACAATCCTGTCCGTCAAAATTACGGGCAGCAAAAAAGTCAACCACAACCTCTGTTCCAGAGGGAACTTATTTATTGTATGCATCGACACCCATGTATTTATTTTTTCCTCCAGAATGGCATCCTGCACTACTGTGGCTTCCAGGTTCTGGCTCCTCAGATCTTCTGGGCCCCGTCTCACGTTCCCTCTGAGGCACGCGCTACTATGCTGGAGGGCTGGCGCACGCGCATGCAAGGCCTCCTGGGAGAAAACCCACTTGCTTTCACTCCCTTGGACTGCTTTGATGGGGAGAAGGGTTACCAGCTGAAGCCTGAGGTCCATGAGAAACATGCCGCCAAGGAGTTTGGACTGACCGTGGGGACCCACCTGGGCAAGGCCCTGCCACCCAACAACCAGATGAAAGCCGGAGTCTGAAGAATGAATGACTGTTGTTGGTTTTTTATGATGATAAATAAAAGCTGGTTAATATGTTCTGAATTTCTGTTGAATACTTGGAAACTGTATTGTAGTTCTAATGGCTAGGGTTTGCATATACAACTAGAGAATGCAATTCCTGAAGAAATTGCTAGTGGGAATGCTTTATGCTGAAAAGCTGACGCTAAACTGCTATGCTGAAATATAATGTGTAAGAAGAAAGTGAAGAATTTCGATTGAAATGATACATGAACACTGGGGGCTTGAATGTGTGATGAGAGAAAAAAAAGAAAGTAAAAAGGCTTGGAAAAGCAGCAGAATATTTGAACTGCAAACCTTTGAACTAACTTGATGGCAAATTTTCTGGCGCCATGCCAACGGCATTTGATGACATCCCATAATACGCTTAGATGTGTTGATGGCTGCATCGTTACCAAACCTGTGAAGTTTGGAGCATTTTCACTGACTTTATGAGAACCGTGTTTCATGGCGAGCATTGTGTTGCCATGGCAACGGCATTTGCAGAAATCTCAAAACGTTACCGTAGATGTCTTCACGGCTGGACTGTTGGCACACATGTGAAGTTTGAGCACTTTTTGAAAATGTTCATAGGAGTTATAGCGACATCGTCTTTTATGGCGAGGGATGCGTTTCCATGGAAACGGCATATGATGACACTTGAGAGCTGGACTGTTAACCATCTGAAGTGTGGTGATCTGAGCATGTCAGTTGGATTTATGACATCGTGTTCCATGACACAGGTGTTTATATTTGAGCTAACGAGGTGTCCAGAGATCAAAGGTTTCCATTGTTCTGAATGAGAGATAAACCTCTTACATGTGAACGTTTTGTGGAAGAACCGTAACAGATATCGGTGAAATTTCAAAGCGTGAAGCATGTCAAGGAACTTGAGTATCTGAAGTGTAATTGTTGTGTACTTTCGGGTTACTAATGTGGCCATTTTGGCAGTTTCACTAAAGGTGTGTGGCTGCTGTGGTGGGGAAAGATGAGGCTTAACTTACAATGGGGTTTAATGGAGACATGTTGAAAGTTGTTGTCACTTCATGCCCTCAAGAGGCATTTTGTTTAATTATTTTGATTAATCTTTTTTTATCTTTCAAGCTACGAGATGTTTTCCTACGTTTGTCATGAGAAATTATGTCTCAAGAATGTAGGGTTTGGGAATTATGAAAGGTTTAAAATAAAATATGAAGGCACAATTAAATCTGTCCTCCACTCTAGCTGTGACATCACACACTCTAAAATCTGAAGAAGGCCTCTTTACCAAGGTCTGAACAATGTTTAATATCTCTAAAGTAAGAATCAGATTTAAAAGTTGTATTACACGAATAATGTCAGAAAGATGTGTAACATTTTAAAGTTGGAATGAGGTTTTTGAGTGAAAGTACGAAGGAGCAGTTAGCAGATTAAGTCGCTTGAAGATTGTTGAAGTCTGAAGAGTTTCTCCATTGACTTCCATGTTAAAAATGTAATGTATTATGGGATGTATCTCTGGAATTATTAAAGTTAAGAATGATAAAGGTAATAGCCATCGATTCCTGACCGAGCTGAACGTTTTGATGTTTGAACGGAGTTTCTGCGATGTTCAATGTGGGAGAAGAAGATGCGCAAAATAACCCGGCGGAATAACAAAGAATTTTGTGCGTAGCATAACAGATAGTGGGAATGCTGTGTCAGCATTCCCACTAAATAATTAGAGCCAATAAATCAAGTAAAGGGCTTACTGTACTTCTCAGCATTGTACATTTATATAACAGTCGTTTGACTCATTCAGCTTTAATGGCAATGAATGCACACAAGATGTTGCTATGGCAACCGGTTGTATGCAATTTTCTTTAGGCCTACCAATGTTAAGTATTGTGACACAACGTCCATCAAACTCCTGTCGGGAAAGATTTCACTGATTGCTAAACTTAGAGCCAAGTTGACTATTCACTGAAGTTTCTCAAGTTAACTTCTGTGGTCAGGACCCCGAACAAAATGAATCTGTAACCCTTCATTTCAAACACTTCATTTCTGTTAACCCTGTTATTTTGATCTAATCCTCCCTTCACCAAACTACTTTTACGCTTTGATCTTAGTTGCCTATAACTTTCAAAATATGCATCTTCGTATAGTGCCTTTTGTAGCTCTGCACATGTGTGTCCCATCTCTAGAATAGTATCCTCGTTCTGATCCTTCAGATCTGCATGGCCTCTGTATTAAAAGACGCATAAACAGAGATAAAGAAAAACCTACGCTGCGTCTCTTTCTGGGTCGGCTAAAATGGGGGTAAAAGCAAACGTGAATGAGAAAATGTTTTTCAAGAGTACTATTGTAAGTGTATCCTACAAAGTGGCTGATCTGCAGCTGTATTAAAATGTACTTGGCTTTTAGTGGTAGAAAAGTTCCTCTCCATTTGAAATGCTGCCCAAATTCAGTGAATACCTGTAGATTAGATACTAGATTGATGAGTCCTGGTAGTTGCCAGCTGATTGGTCAGTGACAATGATTGCTGATTGATAGCACCTGTGAGAAATGAGCCAGAAGGCAGTATGTTGAGTGGTGTGGAGTATAAAAGCAGCTTCTTCAGTTTGCTCTAGCATGAGCCACCCTTTCCATCAACACACAGTCTGTGTCAATATCCAGCATTTACAATTTCCTGCTTCAAAATGGGTATGTTTTTGACTTTGTGTTCTTGTATTTGCTGAGGGCTTGTGTGTATAGCTCATGTTCAGATTAAGGTTGAATCTCATAGGTATGTTTCTGATGTGTTCTCATTTCTTGTTGTTCTTGATTTAGCGTCAAAGAAAGTGTTGATTGTGTATGCACACCAGAGCTCTGGCTCGTTCAACTCTGCAGCCAAAGACGCTGCGGTGGAAGTTTTAACTGCTAAGGGCTGCACAGTAGAAGTATCTGACCTGTATGCCATGAAGTTTAAGGCCACTGCTACAGCTGAGGACATCACTGGTAAATACCTCACTGAAAATAAATAGTTTAGCTTTCAAACTGGTCTTCAGACTTGCAAACATTTATTTTCCCTGCAGGAAAAGTTAAGAATGTAGATCACTTCTGTTACGGAGAGGAGACCAAACTGGCATGGGAGGCGGGAAAGCTTACTGCTGATATCACTGAAGAACAACGCAAACTCACTGAGGCAGACCTCGTCATTTTTCAGGTAGAGCCAGAATTGGTATGTTTCTTGTTTTGTAAGCCATGCCTCTGTTATGAACTAACCTTAAGCCCTACTGCTCAGTTCCCCATGTACTGGTTCACTGTTCCTGCCATCATGAAGGGCTGGATGGACCGGGTGCTCACACTGGGCTTTGCCTTCACCCACGAGAAGCGCTACAGCCAGGGAATCTTCAAGGTAGCAAAGCAAATCAAGAGGTTTGCCTTATTGTGAAGCTATTTCTCCCTACTTATATCTTGTCTTTTTCCACAGGACAAGAAGGCCATGCTCTCCTTCACCACTGGGTCTCAGGAGTCCATGTTCAGTGCAAATGGCATCAATGGAGACATGAATGTCACTCTTTGGCCACTGCAGGTATTTTATTTTGACGAATGATTATCATATAGCTGTTCCAGAGGGATCTTATTTATTGTATGCATCGACACCCATGTATGTATTTTTTTCCTCCAGAATGGCATCCTGCACTACTGTGGCTTCCAGGTTCTGGCTCCTCAGATCTTTTGGGCCCCGTCTCACGTTCCCTCTGAGGCACGCGGTACTATGCTGGAGGGCTGGCGCACGCGCATGCAAGGCCTCCTGGGAGAAAACCCACTTGCTTTCACTCCCTTGGACTGCTTTGATGGGGAGAAGGGTTACCAGCTGAAGCCTGAGGTCCATGAGAAACATGCCGCCAAGGAGTTTGGACTGACCGTGGGGACCCACCTGGGCAAGGCCCTGCCACCCAACAACCAGATGAAAGCTGGAGTCTGAAGAATGAATGACTGTTGTTGGTTTTTTTATGATGATAATAAAAGCTGGTTAATATGTTCTGAATTTCTGTTGAATACTTGGAAACTGTATTGTAGTTCTAATGGCTGGGGTTTGCATATACAATAATTGGAGCCAATAAATCAAGTAAAGGGCTTATTGTACTTCTCAGCATTGTACATTTATATAACAGTCGTTTGACTCATTCAGCTTTAATGGCAATGAATGCACACAAGATGTTGCTATGGCAACCGGTTGTATGCAATTTTCTTTAGGCCTACCAATGTTAAGTATTGTGACACAACGTCCATCAAACTCCTGTCGGGAAAGATTTCACTGATTGCTAAACTTAGAGCCAAGTTGACTATTCACTGAAGTTTCTCAAGTTAACTTCTGTGGTCAGGACCCCGAACAAAATGAATCTGTAACCCTTCATTTCTGTTAACCCTGTTATTTTGATCTAATCCTCCCTTCACCAAACTACTTTTACGCTTTGATCTTAGTTGCCTATAACTTTCAAATATGCATCTTCGTATAGTGCCTTTTGTAGCTCTGCACATGTGTGTCCCATCTCTAGAATAGTATCCTCGTTCTGATCCTTCAGATCTGCATGGCCTCTGTATTAAAAGACGCATAAACAGAGATAAAGAAAAACCTACGCTGCGTCTCTTTCTGGGTCGGCTAAAATGGGGGAAAAGCAAACATGAATGAGAAAATGTTTTTGCAAGAGTACTATTGTAAGTGTATCCTACAAAGTGGCTGATCTGCAGCTGTATTAAAATGTACTTGGCTTTTAGTGGTAGAAAAGTTCCTCTCCATTTGAAATGCTGCCCAAATTCAGTGAATACCTGTAGATTAGATACTAGATTGATGAGTCCTGGTAGTTGCCAGCTGATTGGTCAGTGACATTGATTGCTGATTGACAGCACCTGTGAGAAATGAGCCAGAAGGCAGTATGTTGAGTGGTGTGGAGTATAAAAGCAGCTTCTTCAGTTTGCTCTAGCATGAGCCACCCTTTCCATCAACACACAGTCTGTGTCAAATCCAGCATTTACAATTTCCTGCTTCAAAATGGGTATGTTTTTGACTTGGTGTTCTTGTATTTGCTGAGGGCTTGAGTGTATAGCTCATGTTCAGATTAAGGTTGAATCTCATAGGTATGTTTCTGATGTGTTCTCATTTCTTGTTGTTCTTGATTTAGCGTCAAAGAAAGTGTTGATTGTGTATGCACACCAGAGCTCTGGCTCGTTCAACTCTGCAGCCAAAGACGCTGCGGTGGAAGTTTTAACTGCTAAGGGCTGCACAGTAGAAGTATCTGACCTGTATGCCATGAAGTTTAAGGCCACTGCTACAGCTGAGGACATCACTGGTAAATACCTAACTGAAAATAAATAGCTTAGCTTTCAAACTGGTCTTCAGACTTGCAAACATTTATTTTCCCTGCAGGAAAAGTTAAGAATGCAGATCACTTCTGTTACGGAGAGGAGACCAAACTGGCATGGGAGGCGGGAAAGCTTACTGCTGATATCACTGAAGAACAACGCAAACTCACTGAGGCCGACCTCGTCATTTTTCAGGTAGAGCCAGAATTGGTATGTCTTTGTTTTGTTAAGCCATGCCTCTGTTATGAACTAACCTTAAGCCCTACTGCTCAGTTCCCCATGTACTGGTTCACTGTTCCTGCCATCATGAAGGGCTGGATGGACCGGGTGCTCACACTGGGCTTTGCCTTCACCCACGAGAAGCGCTACAGCCAGGGAATCTTCAAGGTAACAAAGCAAATCAAGAGGTTTGCCTTATTGTGAAGCTATTTCTCCCTACTTATATCTTGTCTTTTTCCACAGGACAAGAAGGCCATGCTCTCCTTCACCACTGGGTCTCAGGAGTCCATGTTCAGTGCAAATGGCATCAATGGAGACATGAATGTCACTCTTTGGCCACTGCAGGTATTTTATTTTGACGAATGATTATCATAAAGCTGTTCCAGAGTAGAGGTCGCGTTAACCGAATATATTCCGTTTATGACAGATTTTTTTTTTTTTAACAATGATGGAAAAATCTGAAAGCAGTCTGTCATTTTGACAGATTAGAACAAACTCAGAACAGCGCCAAAGTTTCCCCGCAGCAGGGCTCCGGTGTTATGGATGCCCTCCAAAAAGGAAATTATATCGTTTCTAGACCTAACTTTGCCGTACAAATCAATGAAATGTCTGGGAGTTTATGCTTTACGCTGTGCCGCGCTCCCGCGAGGTGTACAGACCGACGGGTAATAATGGATTTTGAAAGAATTGTACAATCTTGTCTGTCAAAATCACGGGCAGTTAAAAAGTCAACCACAACCTCTGTTCCAGAGGGAACTTATTTATTGTATGCATCGACACCCATGTATTTATTTTTTCCTCCAGAATGGCATCCTGCACTACTGTGGCTTCCAGGTTCTGGCTCCTCAGATCTTCTGGGCCCCGTCTCACGTTCCCTCTGAGGCACGCGCTACTATGCTGGAGGGCTGCCGCACGCGCATGCAAGGCCTCCTGGAAGAAAACCCACTTGCTTTCACTCCCTTGGACTGCTTTGATGGGGAGAAGGGTTACCAACTGAAGCCTGAGGTCCATGAGAAACATGCCGCAAAGGAGTTTGGACTGACCGTGGGGACCCACCTGGGCAAGGCCCTGCCACCCAACAACCAGATGAAAGCTGGAGTCTGAAGAGTGAATGACTGTTGTTGGTTTTTTATGATGATAAATAAAAGCTGGTTAATATGTTCTGAATTTCTGTTGAATACTTGGAAACTGTATTGTAATTCAAATGGCTGGGGTTTGCATATACGAATGCAATTCCTGAAGAAATCGCTAGTGGGAATGCTTTATGCTGACGCTAAACTGCTATGCTGAAATATAATGTGTAAGAAGAAAGTGAAGAATTTAGATTGAAATGATACATGAACACTGGGGGCTTGAATGTGTGATGAGAGAAGAAAGTAAAAAGGCTTGGAAAAGCAGCAGAATATTTGAACTGCAAACTTTTGAACTAACTTGATGGCGAATGATCTGTCGCCATGCCAACGGCATTTGATGACATCCCATAATACGCTTAGATGTGTTGATGGCTGCATCGTTACCAAACCTGTGTAGTTTGGAGCATTTTCACTGAAGTTATGAGAACCGTGTTTCATGGAGAGCATTGTGTTGCCATGGCAACGGCATTTGAAGAAATCTCAAAACTGTCCCGTAGATGTCACGGCTGGACTGTTAGCACACAGGTGAAGTTTGAGCACTTTTTGAACATTTTCATTAGGAGTTATAGCGACATCGTCTTCATTTCATTTCAAACCTTTATTTATCCAGGTGTATCCCATTGAGATCATTGATCTCTTTTTCAAGGGAGACCTGCTTTTATGGCGAGGGATGCGTGTCCATGGAAACGGCATATGATGACACCCCAAAATTGACGTGGAGCTGTTGAGGGCAGGACCATTAACCATTATCTGAAGTCTGCTGCTCTGAACATGTCAGTTGGATTTATGACATCGTGTTCCATGACACAGGTGTTTATATTTGAACTAACGAGGTGTCCAGAGATCAAAGGTTTCCATGGTGATGTGCAGTAATCAGTGAGAGGAGAGCATTTCCATTGTTCTGAATGAGAGATAAACCTGTTACATGTGAACGTTTTGTGGAAGAACCGTAACAGATATCGGTGACATTTTAAAGCGTGAAGCATGTCAAGGAACTTGAGCATCTGAAGTGTAATTTTTGTGTACTTTCAGGTCAATAATGTGGCCTTTTTTGCAGTTTAACTAAAGGTGTGCGGCTGCTGCCGTGAGGAAATATCAGTGGGCATGTTGGAGGCATGTTGAAAGCTTTTGTCACTTCATGCCCTCAAGAGGCATTCTGTTTAATTATTTAGCTTAATTTGTTTTTATCTTTCAAGCTACGAGATGTTTTCCTACGTTTGTCATGAAAAATTATGTCTCAGGAATGTAGGGTTTGGGAATTATGAAAGGTTTAAAATAAATATGAAGGCAGAATTAAATCTGTCCTCCACTCTAGCTGTGTCATCACACACTTTAAAATCTGAAGAAGGCCTCTTTACCAAGGTCTGAACAATGTTTAATATCTGAAGTATGAATCAGATTTAAAAGTTGTGTTACACGAATAATGTCAGAAAGATGTTTAACATTTTAAAGTTGGAATGAGGTTTCTGAGTGAAAGTATGAAGGAGCAGTTAGCAGTTGATGAAGGAGCAGTTAGCAGTTGAAGTCGCTTGAAGATTTGTTGAAGTCTGAAGAGTTTCTCCATTGACTTCCATGTTAAAAATGTGATGAATTATGGGATGTATCTCTGGAATTATGAAAGTTGTGAATGAGAAAAGTAATAGCCATCGATTCCCGGCCGAGCTGAACGTTTTGATGTTTGAACTGAGTTTCTGCGATGTTCAATGTGGGAGAAGAAGAGGGCCAAAATCCTGGCGGAATAATAATGATAAAGAATTCTGTGGTAGAAGAACAAGTAGTGGGAATGCTGTATCAGCATTCCCACTACTTGTTCTTCTACTTCTATTACTCAAGATACTTATACAAATCTAAGAAGTAAAAATAAGAGAAGAGAGATATTTATATGAAAAAAGGAGTTAAAATGGATATGATAACACGTTTAAATAAAATAGAGGTATTTATATAAACAGATACAATTAAATGTCCAAAAAAAGCTAAAATAAATAACCTATTTTATATAAGGATAAAGTAAAGACACACATGTAAAGTGTTGAATTAGTGACAAAGATATTAAATAACAGATGCTTTTCCTCACAAAGATCTCCCATTGTGCTCGTCTCTCAGAGGGCGATGTCACCCCTCATCACGACACACACACACACACAGGATCATCTGCTCTAATGATGCTCCACACCGTCCAATCAGATCTGCAGTGGGATCACAGCTAGTTACAGCTTATGGCCAACATCACTGTTATGCTCATTGCTCCATTAGGGACCATTTGTGTCCCTGTGATACGGACATGATGGCGCTGGAGTCAATACTGCAGATGTAGAAAGCAAAGGT